AGCAGGAATAGAGTGCAGACTGGAGTAAATGTGTTGCGTTATAGGCAGCCTTGCAAATACCAGTTTGCTCTTCACACTGGTTAAGCAGCAGGAGATTTTGTGATGCTTAACAAAAAATTAGCTTTACTCTGGACTCTCATTCCAGAAGAGATGTGTCTAGACAAATATTTCCCACTAAGAACTGCATGACAATGGTAGGAGATTTACAGCTGACCTGCAGAACAGCAGCACTTTTCCAGTGCTTTTAATTCAGAATTGATGCCTTAGGTGAATGGTGGTCCACAAGAAACTTTGAGGGTCAACATGGCTTTGTAATCCAAACTGTCTGGTCTGTGATGCTGTTCTTAGATAGTAAGGGAAAATCTGTCCTCTCCACATAAATGGTTGATTTGTGATGTTTGATTGCAAATGACAGTGACACAGAACATGGGGCATGTTGTGGTCAACATCCTACTTTGTTTTCCTGTTTTATTTTTAATGTTTCAGTTTTCTGTGGCAATGTTAGAGTCATCTGAACAGCATGTTGACCAAGAACCACGGGAAGGAGGAAACAGAAGTAGGATCAAAAGAAAAAAAGGGATAAGAAAGTGACAAGTAGCTAAAATTAATATTTAGTCTTCTAGTGGCCTTAGGCTTCTAGTGGCCAGAAGGCCATAGGGTGAGAGTGGTCTGCCTGGTAAGAAGGAGTCCCCCATGGCCCACACGTCAGTTCCTCCTTGTCATAGGCAGGGGGGATCCCGCCGACACCCCCCCCCCCCCGCCCTTCTGTGTGCTGAAGAGAGGAAGATACAGACCAAAGCTGTGCAATGCTCCATCTGGGTGCTGCAGGGAGGGTAGGGGCAGCACCAAAGTAGCTGTAGCTGGTGAGGCTTACAGATGGTGCCAGGAAGCAGGTTTCATGCTATGGAACAGTGGCAGCCCTTTCTCTGTCTTGTCCTCCCACAGTGCAAATATAATGTCCTTCTTGTATCAAGGAACAAAGTTATGCTGTTTCCAAAACTCAGGTTACTAATGAGCTTTCACATGAGCAGGGCACTTCCTTGTGCTTTGTGGCTGTAACATTGGTGCCTTGTTCCTTCTCATACAGATAACCCTACATCTCAGAGCAGCAAAGTGATGTGCTTGCTCAGGACCCTTGAGGAGGCTTCCCCTGCCCTAAATAACCCAGGCACTAATGTGGTGCTTGCTTTGAAGTAACAAAAACACCTTCTGCCAACTTCTGTTGCATTAGTGCAACAACACTCTCAATAGGTTTTCCTCAAATGAAGCTCAGATTTGAGATAACGTAGTGTTTGCAAATGAGTTTTTTCCATACGTCCTAACCTAAGGATTTAGTGAATCACATGGTAGAGCTGTCTTCACTGAGCCTGTGGTGAAATACCTTTGTCTGGTCTTCCCACTCAGTCTGAAATCTCTTCAGTCTTTTCATAGTTGCCTGGGGTTGATTACTTGTTTAAGAGTTTTACTTTAAAAAACAATTGAGTGGTTTGCAAAAACACAAATTAACAAATCCTGGGTTAGTGCATTATACTGAATATATAGTTCAGCATAATGTGAGCAGTTCTCCTTCCCTTTCCCAGATGGATTAGTTTTTAGGAAGTATGAAATTTGTGTAATGGGCTTCTGCTTCTCTCACAGCTGGACTGAAAGCAGACTTTGAAGTTTTAAAATAACTTCAAATATTCAAAATGAATATATTTTAAATGCTGTGATATGACACCTTCTGTAACAACAATCAAGGTGATATGGAAAAGAGATTTTGATAAGAGGTCAGCATTGCAGCCAAATCCAATGTAGTAAATTCAGATTATCAGCTCAGAAAGAGCTTCTCACAGAACTATGGTTTAAACTCTTACTTGTTATATTTCCCTTGTACAGCACCCTGAAGTTTTGTACTGGATATACTGATTTTTACATGAGCCCTGTTCATGTATTCTTGACAACTAGTAGCTTAAACAATAATCCTATGTTGTTAGGTTTTTTTACCAAGAAAAGCATTAAAACCAGTTTCCCAGCCAAATTCAGTCCTGAGCTGTTACATGTCACCGTGTTTCATTTTGACTTACTGGTCACATAGCTAGACTTTCTAGAGAGCTTCCAGCTTTCCACATTGAGAGCTTCTGTTGTGTCCTCCTAGCACTTACTAGAGGCCATACAGAGCTGTATGTCCCCACAAGGAAGTTCATCAGATATGGGATGTTCTCAGCTTTGTCTCTCTGAGGGATATATTATAATCCTCTTAACAACAGAATATAGTGAAATTGTGCCTCACACCTTTTTTTTTTTTTTTTTTTTTTTTTTTAAACTATGGGCTGGTTTGTGCTCCATATGATGCAAGCAGACAGTGCAACAGTGATACTGCATTTCTCGGGTGGAAATGCGTACAGGAAGAAGGTGATGCCGCCAAGATCCCTGCAAGCACCTTCTGGGCAGTACGTGGAATCTAGCCCCAAATGCACAGCTGCACATATGACTGAGCTGCATAATTCAGGTAGGCCAGAAAACAAGGGTACCCTCACGTTTTGGTGCCACAGTTTCAGAACTGTGTCAAAAAAAAAAAAAGGTTCTTTATGTACAGCACATTTTCCTCCACACAGTGACGAACAAGCTATGAATTAACTTACTGAAGTCTAAGTTATAAAATATGTCAGGGCACCAGAAACCAACAGATCAGATACATACCCAAAATTGACCTAATGGCACGAAAGGGTTACATGGGGCTGAACTCAGCAAGATCTTCAAATCCTTTCCCATCAACCAGGACTGTGGACGGCAGTGCTTGCAGGCACACAGTACATTGGGTACAGTGCTAATATTTTCTTACCTCAGGGAATTTCTTCTTTTGTAAATATTCTGTCATTGCAGGATCAAAATACTTTGCATAACCTTCATTGAGACTGTATACCTTCCCCTTCTTCTTGATTTTAACATCTCTGTCCACCAAAATAAATTCACCGAGACCCTACAGAAGAACAGGATAGACCAGCTATTAGCAAACAGCAGAACATTTTGTTGACTTTCTGTAACAGTTGTCACACTGGAGATGGCAGAAACACTAGCACAGCTTGGTCCTTTCAGCACCAGTCTTGTGTATAACTTCACAATATTTCAAACAGAGCAGAAAGCACGGAATCTGTGTTAAGTTCATGAAAACTTGTCCCACTGGTAGTATAAACAAAAAGCAATTCAACTATAATAGTTAGCATATCAAATGAACACCAGTCAGCCCTGAAAGCAGATGGATCATGAATCTCTGTCCACAAATCATAAGGTTACAAGTTAAGAAATTACACTGCCTTCTGATTTTTGAACTCTTCTTGCCTTCTTATATAAATAAAGTGAATGTGGTCAGCTACGCCCAGGTGTTGCTGTCTGCAGTTTGAGTGCAACTTCTACCTTCTCTTCATCCACCTCTAACCGGAGCAGTTCAGCTCACAGTTCTTCCCACTTGGAATGAACCTATTTATAAAACTTACAGGGAGTTTTGATAATAATGCATCCTTTTTTCAAAAAGAATGCCTGTGTTATTGCCCACATGTAATGCTGCTTTCTCAAATAAGCCGTCTCCTTCCTGCACTCCTCCAGTAACACTTGTTGGGCTCCTGGGCTGGGTGCCAACGGGCAGCAGACGTCGGATTGTATGGGCATGGTTCTGCTTTTGCAAACTGTTGGGCACGCAGCTTAAGAGGACTTATCCTTAAAACTGAATTGCACTCAGGAAATCAGGCATCGCTCTGCATGAACTGTATCAACAAAAGGCTAAACACTGAACATGCTGAGGTTCTTCCACAGAACAAGAAAAAAAGCAGGAGTCCTTTGAGTGGAGGCAAAGACACTGTTAACAGTAAATTTTCTTAAGTGTTTGTGCAAACCAGCAGTCTGGTTTGAATGAACAGGGTTTCAAATGCTATTTAACTTAAACTCTCTTTCAATGAGTAGAAAAAACAAACAGAGGTGTTGCAACCAACATACTCATGTATTACTATATACTTGTAAGGTGGAGGTGGTATGCTCCAGGACGTGGGTGAAAAAAAAGAATCACGTAGATTGCCTAGATTACAGAGACAAGGAGTAACCAAAATGAGTAAACGCAAGCACGGAAAGCTCTAGAAGATATCGGCAATGTGCTTAACACCATGACTGTACCGGATCCAGCATGAAGCAGTCCACTCCTTGCCCTGTGGAGAGGGCGACCAGCGTAGCACTGCCATACAAGGCGTAGCCTGCAGCAACAATATTGCGTCCGGGCTGCAAAGCATCTTTTTCAGAGGGCTCATCATCTCTTTCCTGAGGAAAAATTACGGTTGGACTGCAGGTTAAATTCTTATGAGATACAATAAAAACCACACTTAATAATAATATGGGGCAGATTTCCTTTCTATGTCTACGCGGGCCTTCGAAACAACCGAAACAGAGATTGTTCCCACTAGTTCAGGGCAAGTTTGGTACGAGTACATGTACATGCTGGGACAGGACGTTGAGAGTTTGTTGTTTCATATGTCATGCAATCACTGATACCTGCAACAAAACTGATACCTTAGCATAACACTCCGGTCTATTAATTCAAGATCATCAGAAATCTGAGACAGAATAGAGGTACTGATTTTCTGGAAATGTAAACATAAGCTATCATAGTGACACCCCTCAGTGGAAATAACTGTGAAGTGAATGCAATAATTAATATTACAGAAAAATCGCTTCTAGTAATACAGAATAAAAGGGTAGATGGTGCAACATGATGGAACCAAGATTGTGCATTGGTCTCTGCTGGTGAAGAGATGGGTAACTGAAGTGATAGAAATGTTCATATTCTATATAAAATAACACATGCATTTGCATATGTAATGTGTGTGCATGTGCAGATACACATATAAAACTCTATGTAGAACATTCACGTGGCATTTTACTTCAGGCTTTTAATCAATTTCCAACACTTGTATTTTGATTTGGCACTTTGGTTATCAGTGAACGGCAACAGCCCAAGCAGACCTGGTGCAAATGTTTCTAGCCAGCTCTGGGGGTGTGCCTCAGCCGTGGCTTACCAGAGTTTGACTGGTGGGGCATGAAAGGGCAGCCAAGAGTACTTGGGAAGGCTGGTAGGGAATGCTTGATCCTAATGTTTCTTTAAAAGCTTGTCAGCTGTGGTGGATCTTCTGTGGATGTTTTGATGGTGGTTTACAAATGAGAACCCTCTCAGATCCTTTCTTTAGGCCCTGGTTTAGCATTTTATTGATTCAAACTCAGACAATTTCTCAGTGATTGCATGGGCTTAATTAGATTGAGTAGCAGCTAAATAGCAGGCCTAGCCCAAAATATCTGGTTAAAAAAATAAAAATAAGTGGAGACTGTTTTGTGTAGGAAATAAAATATTTGATGAAAATTGAGTAAATTCTTTAAAAAATCAAGAATGCCTTCCACAGATATTTTCCAAAGGAAAACACCTCTCCTCCAACAGAGAAATTCTTTGTTGTTCCCCATGGAAAGAAGGTCTCAGGGTGCCCATCAGGGTCTTAGCAAGGTGGAAGGCTAAGGGGATCCCGTTCATCGTTGTATGCCAACATCTGCAGGAAAACTGAGATGTGGGACATGAAAACTACATCTTTCATAGCATATGAAGACAGTAATTCCACATCAAAATGTTTTCATTTTCAGCTGAAAGATTTTGTCACTTTTGTAACTTTCACTTACAGAGTTTTTAGCTGTATTTTGCTCAAAACTTTTAATTGTTATTATTTTGCCAAGTTCTTTTGTGGGGAAAAAAAAAATCCAGTTGCCAAAGAGCTCTTCATGGGAGCTGAAAGATAGCATGTACAAATACATCTGGTACGCAGTTCCTTGGAATTAGTCTATGTCAAACTGCTTGTTCGGAGAGGTTATAATGCACATAATGAAGGAAGACTAGTTAAAACTCCTGTTTGTATATTCCAGAGCTTTGAATATTGACTATTAGGGGTAATCTTTTGCTAAACAATCTTTTACAGAACCAACCATTATACCATACGTAGCATCTTCTCTTTCAAAAATATATCCCTGTGCCACATACATCTCAACATTAAAAGCAGTGGTTGTCTATAGTAGACTAATTATTTGCAACATTAAATGCAGAATTAAACATACATTTACACCACTATTTGCAAACATATTATGATTCTTCTAACTTTTTGTATGCTTTCCTCATTAAATAAAACTTAATTTTATATAAATATAGTAAAGAGGTTTGGTTTATAGAACATGGTGTATATACAGTACATGTAGCTGCTGGCTACATGAGATATTGATTTAAAATATATTTTTCTGAGATGAGCTTTTCAGTCCTCTTAAATGCATTTTCTATGTTTATATGGCTGAGAAACCATGTGTTGACTATCCTGAAAAAACAGAGGAACTCCTCCCTCAGGATATAGACAGTTGGGCAGAATTCACTTGTTTCTCCATCTTTATTTATAACTGTGTTTCCAAAAGGAAGGAAAGAAGCTCAGTCTCAAATAAACATTTCACAGAGCTGGTCAGAATGTAAAAAAGGTAGAGATCAGCTGATATGTCATTGTTAGGACTGCAGGTTTTTTGTCCTGCCAAGTACCGTGCACTGTGAAACAAACCAGGGAATTAAGCTGAATATTTTCACTTCTTTCTGGTGCACAGATGGATTTCCTAGCTATTCTGTTTTGACTGTGAGATGGCGGTAATGAAATCCCCTTAGAGGTCTTTATGCAAAGCACTGAAATAGGCAGAAGGACTGCAGAGATGTTCTGACAAGCGTTGACACAGTCGCTTTGGCTCATTGTTGGTGTGAAGCAGATGAAACAAGGTCCACAGAGTCTGTCTACAGGGGTACCCTCAGGTCATATCTGAGTTTGAAAATTTTTGCATCATGATTTGTCCACATCACATGAGGGAGTTCGCATCAGCCCTGGGAGCGGCTCTGGAAGGACTTGGTTTCCAGGTCTCCATTTGTATCACATGTTTTATGAATATCCTTTGTGTTTGCCCTGAATTCTTACACCTTCTCCATGAGGGACCACATGGAAAGGACGTCATTGTCCTCATGACAACGAAGGGGGTAAAATAGGGAAGAATCCAAGCAAAAAATACTTACTGTCACCACATCTTGACACTCCAGCAGCTGAGAGCCTCTCAGCAGCAGTGACTGTCAAGCTCCTATCCTTTGCTCTGGCTTCTGCTGATTCAGCAAGGCTCCTCCCTCCACCCCACTTTTCTGACATTTCTGATCTTTTTAACAATATCACCCATGCTTCAGAGAGTAAAAGCCAGGTGGAAAATCAAATAAATCTAAGATGGCATTTATTTCCTGGTGTTTTTCTCTCAGAAACTGATGAAGTGCTTTTCTGCCAGGAGACAGTAAATGGTACCTGCCACCATGGTGGTGGCTCTGGATTGTGAGCAGCCGGAGAAACGTATAGGTCAAGTCTGGCCTTTGTAGAAAAGTGCTGATTATCTGTTTTTCCTAAAATGAAGCAAATATTTCAGTTCTGGAGGTGCACCTTTGGAAATGAAGTCAAGGTGCTCACATGGTAAGAAAATCAGTCATGCAATCATCTGAGAATTGGAAAGTACCAAATACCAGACAGGTGCTAAGGATCATCCTTTGGCATTACAATTGTTCTAGCTTTTCCAAAATGATGGACCTTAAATGGCTTGAAATCATAATTTTTGTCTTACTTAAGTGGTTCTCATCCACTGGGATAAACATCTCACTTTTCTTTCTTTCACGCTACCCTTCAGTAACAATCAATAAAGCACTTATTATTATTTCATTATTTCAAAAGGTTTGAAGTTAATAATGTTCGAAGTTAATAGGGTTGCTATGGAATTGTCTTGTCTGAGAGAAAGGCGCATTAATTAACATGTACTTTGGAATTTGCATTTTAATGGTAATAATTATGCAAGTGAAAGTCTGTAAATTCAACATTTTTTCTAAATTCCCAGGGAAAATTGCAAGTTGCTCTTGTAATTGACAAACTGTTCTTCATCCTAGCAGCAAGGTTTTCATTGGGATATGAAGCATTTATACAAAGCAATGTAATTTTCTTTTTATGAAGCGCTGAAGGATATCCACCCACATGAAAACCAGTAACTTAGAAACAGTATTTACAGCAAATTTGTTAATATATATTAGAACAACAACAACTATGGAAGGATCAGAAAATTAATTGAAAACTTGAGCATTTGGGAACAACATCAGTTCTTTGGGAAATGATTCTATTCTGAAGCAGAATCCTAGAGAAGACTGGGCAGTCAATAGTCTTTATGTACATTAGCAGGTGAGTTAAAGATGGTAGAGAAATCTAATCTGTATTTCAGCCTGCTGAGCTGTATTAATCACACTGAGCACTTGCCTTTATAGTTACACAAAGTAACCTAACACAACACTTCTAAACAGAAAGCTAATGTTTATTATTTGTAAGATCATGGAATCACAGAATCATGGAATGGTTTGGGTTGGAAGGGACCTTAAAGATCATCTAGTTCCAATCCCCCTGCCAGGGGCAGTGACACCCTCCACTAGACCACATTGCCCAAAGCCCCATCCAACCTGGTCTTAAACACTACCAGGGAGGGAGAATCCACAGCTTCTCTGGGCAACCTGTTCCAGTGCCTCACCACCCTCACAGTCAAGAATTTCTTCCTGACATCTAATCTAAATCTACCCTCCTCCAGCTTAAACCCATTACCCCTTGTCCTGTCACTACACTCCCTGACAAACAGTCCCTCACCATCTTTTCCTGTAAGCCCCTTCAGGTACTGGAAGGCCGCAATTAAGTCTCCCTGGAGCCTTCTCTTCTCCAGGCTGAACAACCCCAACTCTCTCAGCCTGTCCTCATAGGAGAGGTGCTCCAGCCCTCTGATCAGCTTCGTGGCCTCCTCTGGACTTGCTCCAACAGCTCCATGTCTTTCTTGTTCTGGGGCCCCCAGAGCTGGACCCAGAACCTTTAAGAATAGTGGACAACACAGTTATTGCCTACTGTAAATGTTGGGAGGTGCTGTAGTCTTTTAGACTTTCTTGAGAGACATAAATGAAAAGGTGGGGTCCCCATTGCTTACCATAAGGGCACATGGCATGGATTGCATCCATACAGCTAAGCTCTCTTCCCTGCAAAAAGCAAGGTGGCGGATGGTACTGGAGGTAGTCCCTGGCCTCTTCTTTCCACAAGCAACACCCAGGCATCATCTCAGTGTTGTCTGGCTTGGGCTGCATCTGTGATGGGGGCTTGCACTAACCATTGACAGTGTGGACAGCCATATGCCAGCAACAGGCTTGTGCTGTGACCCTGCTGAGACTGCCGTAACTATTTGGTTTACTGGTAGATGCATCTTCTCAACAGTGCTGATTAGTGTATCACCTACCAGAAATGTAAAAAAATGAGGACTAGCTAGTTGAAAATTATGATTTGAGAGTGGATTTTAAAAACCTGTTTTTGTATGTTTGAAGTGTAGCATCTGAGTCCACGCTGACTTGTCCGCAGTCACAAGTACTGCAAATGTTACTTCACAATAGTGATTGCTGAGGGTCTCCCATGGTCATATGACTGTGATCTCAGGCTTTAGGAAAAACACGAACTGCTGGGAGATTAGCAATCAAATCACAAGACTTGGCATGACTCTAACTATCAACGTTTGTTAATTGGCTGCGCAGTTGCTGTTCTGCGCAGCCCCATGGGAGCAGACATGCTGGCGAGGCCCTGGTGGCTGTAGATGACTGCTTCCTTTAGCCTCAGGTGGCCTCCATCGTTAGCATGCTTATAAATCGCCATCCGTAACAGGCATAGCAACTCGTACCGGGAGGCCACCACCCTGTCAACTGTGATACGGTCCAGGCAGTGACTGTCAGCCCTCCCTAGTCAGTATCCAGGAAGACAAACACTGTGATTCGTAGGCAGTGCGACACCCCTCAGCTCTCCTGCAGCAAGTAAGGCATCACTGAGGGAGCTAACCAGCTGCCTGGTGGTGAGAGGGTTTTATTTAAGTGCCTGTGTGTCTGGAGGAGGGAAGAGCTGCCACCTAATAATTTCAGAGGGCTGAGTGACCCCTTCCTGCTCTAGTTGATCCTGCTGTAGCAGGGGGTTGGACTAGGTGATCTCCAGAGGTCCCTTCCAACCCCTACCAGTCTGTCATTCCTGGGAATTCAGGCACCATTTTAGGACACACATTTAGAATCTCAAGTGTTACGTCTTCTACTCTTTCTAAGGCTCTGTTGGTCCCAAAGACACTTAAAGAACCTAGGAAAGAAACTAAGCAAGTTGATATACCATTTTGCTGTCACCAAGGGAATCGTGCCGTGTGTGCTTCGTTCAGTCTCTTACCTTTTTGTAGATAGCAAATATTGTTCCTATCGGTGCCAAGCAGTCTATATTGGATGAGCCATCAAGGGGGTCAAAGCACACGACGTATTTACCCTAAAACAGAAGTGGCAAAGGAAGCATTAAATGATACATAGTCTTGCACTACTGTTTCCTTTTACTTGACAAAACCCATGTTTTTATGATTGCATTTAGCCCTCCAAGAGCGCCGGACACGGCACGTCAGAGGAGGCTGTGCTGTTGACCCATCTGACCCTGCAGCACAGCACCCACTCCCTGCAGGGCATGCCCGAGAAATAGGAGAAGGCACGTTTCAGCTCAGACAGCACAAAACCTGATGCCAGAAAGGAGCAGTCCTCTGCTGCCAAGCAAGGCAAGAAATCGCTTGAAAGCAAAAGGAGTGACTCATTCTGGAAGCGAGCATCTTCCCAAGTAAATATGTTTTGTTTTGTTATTTTTTGTTCCGAATGAAAGCATTTGCCTGTGATGTGAGGTGAGGTTTGAGAGTAAGAAGGCAGACATAAAACATCTTGGGGAAAGGGTAGATTACATCAGCGTGAGCAGCATCTCGCTGCAATAGGATCCCCTCCTGAGGGAAGCCTGATGAAGCAGTCAGGTGTTTCCTCTGGACATGTAACGTAAACCCCAGTTCTGCCAGCCTCTCATCTCATTTTATCTTGCCTAAATATTAATGTAATCCAAAACCATTACACCAGTGGTCAGGGAATGTAATAGTACACTTACACCTGGGATCTGGGGTGTGTTAACAAGCTCCAAAATAATTATTCTCCCCCCCTTCACAAAACTTTAATAATAATAATTTTACCCTCCACGGCTCCTTTAGCTGTTGAAACCATGCCATCCACCACAGTTATTAATCAAAATCATGCAGTAATGGTGCAAATTTTCTGAATTCCCTGGGGAAGCACTGGTTTTGGGGCCAGGCCCAGGTCTCATACTTGAAACAAGAGTGCCACCTGCTGCTGCCTGAGCCCATAACCCCCCCGAAGGCAGGAGCTGTACAGACCCGCTTCTCTTTCGGGGTGATGATGGCCTCCTTGTTCTCCTCCGTGACCAGGACGCAGGTGCTGTAGGAGGACTGGAGCATATTAATCACCAGGGAGTTGGATAATACGTCCAGCTTCTTCACTTCGTCACCGGTCACATTCACAGTGCCAGCTATACCAAACCTACAGAAAAGTAAAAATATCCAGAAACCTGAGGGGTACCGACATTACTGGGTTTTAGGAAAAAAATGAGTCAAGGTGGCTCCTTCCACTGATCTTCCCACACCTCCTCTAACCTTTGATTAAACTGCTAAGGTGCATTAGGAGATGGTTACTGCTGCTGGAAAATGAAAGCCTGCACGACAATGAGAAAGGGTGAGGGCATCATTTTTGGGCTTTACCTGGGTCATTTTGCTCCTGCTTGGATATTCTCCAGGCCAGGAGCAGAGCGCACAGCCAGGGCAGTGGGTGCCAGCCTTCCCTAGCAGCCCCACGAAGCAGCTGGCAGCAGCTTTGAGGAAGGAGAAGGGGCAGTTAGCATCTGCATTTTTTTCTGCCACTGACTGCTCAGAGCTCTGTGACGGTCCTTTAACCCATGGCCACTCAGTGCTCAACCACCCCAAAATCAGAAGCTTTAAAGATACTCCCAGATAATTCCCCATGCTGCACTGTATCTCAGAATCAAGGTCTGTTTTATCTGGTGATCCTCAGCTAAGTTACAATGATGCTTCCGTTCCCTATCCTGATTTTAGCCATATACTAATGAAGTAGTATATAGTAGTATATGTATTTCTGAGATTTCCAGTTGAAGAAGCAGTGTTTAGAACTAATGTGAGTGGTCTGGGCATCTTAGAAGTATAAGGAATCATATGGGGGATAGATATAGCATTTTTATTCATTATGGAGGAAAAAAAAAAAGGGGGGGGGGGGGGGAGGAATATGCAGTAACACAGAATTGCTCTAAAAAGAAAAGGGAAGTGGGGGGGGGGGGGGGAGGGACAACTAATTAGTCCCTAGGATGCTGGTCAGCAGCGGGCCTTAGTTGGGCAGGGTAGATCTTTTTTCTTGCTCAAAGCTGCCTGAGCTTTTCAGCAGTATTGAGCAGTTTTGGCACTCTATTTTGGAGTGGCAAGTTTGAGATACTGGAAAAGACCATGATTTTCAGGGAGTGCTAAGCACCCATTCTCCAGTTACTGTGTTTTCAGGCACATTCCCAGCTCAAGTCTATGGGTTGGCAAATTTGAATGGCAAATTTGTTAAAAATTCATGCTGAGGATCAAAGAAGTCACTTCACAGTCTCCTATTTGGAGGCCCTGGAAAAATCAGAGCTCTCTAACTTCACAAATGCAGACGGATGCAAACCAATCACCGTGAATGAAAGTTGCCACGAGAATTTCTGAAATTTCATGGTTACTTGCAGTAACTTGACTGGTGCAAGTTACTCATCTGTGTGTTTGGATACTTTAAATATTTCTGGTTCATCACCTGCAACTTTTGTTTATAGAAATGTCTCTTATAGAAAGAGACATTTGCTCCTTTAACATAACAGCTGTTTGCCTTCTGAAGGGAACCTTCATCTAGCACAGCAGCTGTGTGTCCTGTAGGCTAGATGGCTATTCCACCTCTAGTCTACCAAATAGAGGTTCTCCCCACTTACGAAATACTTCGGAGGTTGCGTATTGAAAGATAAAAATATAAGATAAAAGCAACTGTTCCTCTAAGTCAGGAAGGAAAACAGCTCAGCTTCACCAGAGACAAAGTACAGTTTAACAGTTAGGGCACAGGAGCCTGATACTGCTGTTAACTTTGAGTATGTCTCATGTCCTCTCTACATATTACGGTCCATGCCTGCAAAGTGAGGGTGATGATAGTACTGAGACATTGAATTCATGATTTGCAAACATCATTGAGGACTTTTTGACAAAATAGTCAACAGAAGCACAAAAAACCTCAGTGTGTCATACATTTTGGTGTTTCCACAGAAAACAAACAAACAAACAAAAAAAACAAACACAAAAAACCCCAAAGTACAAATTATAAATGTTGTCTGTCTTACACAAATATATTCCCTGTCCTTTTCATGCATGTATGCATACGTACATACACAGGCATGTACAGAAACATGTATTTCAATACATAACAAAACCTGTATATTTTAAATGCATAATTTTATTAGGCCATTACAACTCTCTGAACTGCTTCAGATAGATCACCATTAAAAGAGTGACACTGCTGTCTATTTATTTCACCTGGCTGAGCTTGGTTCATTCCAGGCTTTGCTAAGGCAATTCTTTATTCCATTTCCTAAAGCACTAGATGGCAAATTGTTATGTTTGTTTTTCATATAGTGCCTTTGAAGACTGCCGACTTGTAACACCGATACTACTTGAGGAAGGAAGGGGAAATGCAACTCATGCGTGGCAGTTTACGGTGTTTCTCGCAGGGCTGTTGCCTTAGACCATTACTTATACTGCAATCAGGCAGAACATCAGCTTCCCAAGATAAGCCAAGCCCTGATTTCCACAGCTCAGCACCAGGCTTGGATGTTAGCATAAAATATCACAGTGTGATATTCTGCATTAAAAATATCATGGTTTGATATTGTGCATATTCACAGTAGATTTAAATATAGATCGGTATCAACATTTACAAGGGATAAGGTAGTGAGCAGTGCATTGAAGTTCTGACTTACAGAACAGTAGTTAGTCTAGATGTCTATCTTGTGCCCAATATTAAAACGCTGCAGAAAGAGAGATCTCCCACTTCCCACTCTTGATAATCCAGGGTCTGACCTCACGCCTACAGTCACTCGGCTTAAAACAGACACTTCCAACGTATTTATGAATCCCTGTGCTCTCCCCAGCCTTGCTGTGCAAGCGGCTGTCTTTCTGCCTCCTCTTCCTCCCCGTATCGCTAGGTAGGACTCACATGTGGGCAAGGCCTGCCTTTCTGACTGCAGAGGAAATGGCCTTTATGGCAGTCAGCATGGAGTTGAGCAGCTGCGTCAGCTCCCCTGTCGCTCCTTTCACGCGGCGTCCCTTCTCCATAACGAATCGCGTGAGCGTTAGCATATCCGTTTCGAAAGGGGTTTTGTCAGACATTTTTGCTGGGTACCGGAGTTGCTATCTTCTTGGCTGAACGGGACGCTTTTTCTTGCCGCGTTATGATCCTGAGGCGAAGCTGTTGGCTGCGTCGCTGCTCCGAGTTTATTAAGATGTTTCTGAGACCATGTGATGGAGTGCTCAGAATAACTGCACCCCAGGCTGGCTTCAGGATGCAGGAAAGGAGACTGAGATGGGACTACAGCTGAGCAACTGCTGCTTAGCTGCCCTTCCCACACACTGAAATTAGTCATGTACAGATCTAGTAACGTATTCTACTTGTGCACTAGAATGCTTACGGGGTAAAACTCTAGCTGGCCACCTAGAGTTTCCTCTAGCTGGAAACTGCTTCCCTGTAGCTGCCGCTCAGCAACAAGCTCAGCATAGCTAAGGAAAAGTGCACAATTTGCGAGGTGCCAGAAATGAAGGCACAGGGCATCAGTAACCGCTCTGCCACAGCAGAGTATCCACCGCACTGCGACTCTGGACAGTGAAGTTCCCCTCCCATATCCCCTTTTTCCTTGCTTGCTGACCCCCTTTTGGCCTCCTCCACAGAGGAGGGCTTTGAAGGTGTATGGCACATCCCAGGGGAATCAACAGGAGGTGTGCATCTAGACATGCATTTATTAAAGATGGTTTATGTTGCTAGTTGGTCTGCTGCAATCCCATTTTGATTACTTCGTTCCTAGTCTGGGCTACTTGTAATATTATAGGGCTTGCATGAATGAGTAGTACTGGTGAGCTGTGGCTCGTTTGGTTACAAAGTAATTGTCTCTTCAAAAATTTACAAATGAAGCTTATCAGATTTAAGCCTGTCTGTGTCATAACTCACAAAACGAAATTTTACGTCGGCCTTGTTATTGTAGTGCACCATGTAAATATAGGTATGGCCGAGTTTGCAATTATATGGCCAAGCAATATATTTGGATCACACGATGCTAATGTGAAGATAGACAGAAATGTCACCGAACTAGGCATGTGCTATCTGGAACACTGGAATTTCAGATTTTAATTACAGCACTATCTTCCCACTCAGATAAGGCAGTAAGAACAATTATATGTTGTAGCCTTCATTTTACTTGTTAGCAGCACTGTCTTATTTGTAAGCAGAAGATATGGAAAGTCCACAAGCAAAACAAGAAAATCTGGAGTAAAAGAAGAAGAGTTTCGTTGAGTTTCATTGTTATTGTTCATTTAACCCAAATTACGGCACTAAAACCAGGCCGGGAAGACAGAAACAAAATTCAGTAACAAAACATATATCTAGCTTTTTTTTTTTTTTTTGTAACAAGGAACTGCAGCTGTCGGCAAAGATTTTTGATTTCCCTTTGCATTCCTTTTTTAACCTTTAGCGTTTCTTCAGCATTTCCTAAAAGCATCTCTTCACCTACGAACAACACATTACTTGAGAGCTGTAAAGTGATTTGAATGCTAAGGTTTTCTACTCTGAAACCAGCCTCAAGCATAAGTCCCAGAGACTGACAGCAATGAGCACCAGCAACAAGTAGAAAGACACAGCTCGGTGCTGCTTGCATCCCGTGTGCTTAGCTGTGCAAATCAGGGCTTGGCTTAGCTTGGGAAGCTGATGATGTTTTTCAAATCTCATTCTAAGGAGCAGGAAGGACTGGCCAACAGAGCTCCTCAGGTGGAGCAACAGGCAGATTCTGCGCTACATCCTCTAAGGCAGTGGTGGAAGAAGGAAGTGATGAAGATTTCTTTGTCTCTTTTCTACCACTGTGGTCTAGTCAAAAGTATACAATACCATTCACATCGCGGGATGAATATTCCAGAGCACTTTTTGCCAGATTAGGAGACTGACTTTCTTCAAATGGACTTTGTACAAAAACAAAATATAACATATGTAGGGAGCTCTGGGATAGCACGTGGTGCTATTAATAAAAGAAGGGGACAGGTTTCACATTATACATGCAAACAGATCTGTTGGCTTAAAGTACAGCCATTACATTCTGCACATTATTTTGCCATCATGGCAGCTGTCAGCCTGACCAGTGCTAAAAAGCTTTTAATGCAAACTCTCTGCTATGATGTAGCTAGAATGCCATCAGGACACCAGATCAATCTAGCAAATAAGAAATGGGGTGGGGGTTGGCCTATGGCTTCTAACATTTGTCAAAACATCACGTGCAGATCTTCTTAACTGATGATTCCAAGTGATCTTTTACACTGGTCAAAAAGACAAAGTTCAGATCCTCTTCTAACAGAAAGTTTGTTTTGGCATTAGTGGTTCAAAGGGTGTTCTCAGAGCTAATAAGTCCATTATTTGCCTTTTTCTTCTTTTTTTTTTTTTTTTTTTTTTTAGCTGAAAAAAATCCCCAAAGCTTTTTAAAGGTACTGGATACTTTTTAGTACGTATAAAGCACAGGGCTTTGAGCTGATGCTCAAATAACACTCCTTCAATAAGCACTTAACTTCTACACTCATATGTAAAGAACAGGACTCTATACCCAAGCTTTCCAGAAATATTGCAACCAACAGTGGAGCAAGAAGAGAAAAAAAAAGAATAAAACTTGGATAAAGGCACAAGACTGGGTTGCATGAAAACTTTACCCTGTTTTGATAAATACTGTGATCCCACTGAATGATGAAAACCTGAATGGTTAAACTGAAAGATTAAGCTATATAAATAATTACTATTTATTGCAGGGTGTGCGGGGAAGAAATCAGATTGTTTAAAAAACATATGATGATTCTTTATAAGCCTGAGAACCACTCAGTAAGAGGCACTGGAACAGCATAGAAAGGTTAAAAAAGATAAACACCTCAGTTTGACAAATCTGTGGAATATTTGCCCTCTAATATAAAGATTACACAAGAGCTCTCAGGGATGATTCACACTTCCACTGGCATATAGGCTAGCCCTCTGCCTTAAAGGTGACACCTCTCCTAACTGATTTGAAATGTTAGTTGCTTGGATGGCGATGGCTGAAATTGGAGCCAGCGACCTTTCACCAAATGCCACAATTTAGCCTCCGAGCAGGGCAGTGGGTAGTACTGCAACGGGGACCAAAGGTGGACGCTGTGACACACCGACCCTCCCACCCCGCGCCGACACGCAGGCTGAGCTCCGGAATGGGGGCTGTGGAAGGAGATTACTGAATAGTTCTCCCCAACGGTGGCTATAAGCAGATGCCATTCAAATGTGTGTTCACGTATCACAGATAGAAAGAAAAACCCAGCTCACAATGTGAAAAATGCTAACTATAAAATATCTGCCTACAGGCAAAACCAAAACACTGGAAACTGACCTAGCAAACACGGGCAGTATTGCCTTTCCTGCTATAACCTTTACCTGCTGCCAGTATGGTGTCTTAAAAATAGATATATGCAGCCCAGGGATTCCTGAAGAGGTTGAGGGCAAAATACAGCTGAGGAATTACTATAACTAGACAAAACCAGCTGCTGTGGATTCTCTCTGTCAAGTTGTACCATCAGACTAGTGAAGCACTGTAGTCCAAACTGATATATGGAAAACCAGAAAAAAGCTGTAAGGTTTTCTGACTGTCCTCTGCTTAGCGTATTAAATAATGTGTCCAGCTGTGGCTCTGGGGACAGGTCGAATTAAAAACTTAAGGATCTAAAAAAAGTTGTGCATGACAACGTCATGCACTTTCCTCTAGGAGCAGCATCCAGAACTTTGTAGAGGTTTAGAGTCCTTCTCAGCACATTGCCTGCTGTAGCTGATTTAGTGAGCTTGCAACCTTTTAAAGTGCTATGGGGTATATGCCACAGTCAGCAAGTAAGGAAATGCTTGGTATAGGAGCATGCAATCCCTTTGCGAAGTGTTTCAGTGTGTGAGGTAGGCATCTCCAGCTGCTCCCTAGGACCTTCACCCCTCATCAAAAACTGAGAGATACTTGCCCTTTCTTTTGAAATCACAATGAAAAGGCAAAGTAGATGCAAGGATGGTTTTTTTTTTTTCCATTTACAAAGTTGAGAGCATGATCATATTCCAGTGTTCAGCTGCTCACATGAAGAGGCAGAGGAAGCAGCATTAGCCCTTGCACAGGAAAGAGTAGCCTCTGAAGAAAAGCCTGGGCCAAGGAGTTCCCCAGCACACGGCTGTCCCACTTGCTGTCTGGTCACACAAAGTCTTCTCCCACATCATGGCACAGTGCTTGCAGGTCGCGGAGGTAAACCCTCTTCTTCCAGGATGGCCCCCAGACTGGCAACAAGGGCACCCCACTGGGAGATCTAGGTTTGAGCCTTCTCCCAGAGGGGAATTAATCAGAAATTAGACAGCATGGCTGCTGCTCGTGAGGGGCCTGATTTTGCAGGTGCGTATCAGGCAAAGTATGTAAGCCACGGTGAACTCATTGCTCAGAGCAGAGTTTGTCCTACAGAGGAGCCAGACCCTGTGCAGGGCCAGACTTAGGCCCTCACAGCACAAAAAGCAAGTGCACAAGCAGAACAAAAGCTCAGTGGAGATTTCCAGGACTGTCCCAATCCTTTAAGGGCTCAGGTCCCTGAAAGCCCTGTCTTCACTAACAAAGCCTCAACAGAAACAGCATTTGCAGCAGAAACTAAGCCATTCAGTGCCTGCCAGAAACACACTTTGGAGAACAGATGCATATTTACACCCATCTAAGGTTTTCCAGTATGCCTCCAAATGCTCCAAATGCAACCTGTGTCAGAAGAAGAGCCCCCAGGGTTTTTTGGGTGTGAGCCCTCACAGAGCATGTGTTTGCACTATGGCCTCTAGGTTCCCCACACACTCTTTTCTTCTTGTTTTACAAGAAGAACCAAGCTTAGACAGACTATCTGATGTATGCAATATCCTCAGGCAGGAAGGTTTATAGCTCATTGCACCCACAGACAGAGGCTCCCAGACCACGGCTTGAGCGAACGTTGAGTGGCAGTCTATCCAGCAGTGACATCCACCCGTCCCTTAGTTTGAGTTCGGCACGTAAGCAGGAAACGTCAAAGATTTGAGGATTTGAACTGATTCAAAAAGCTTGTGAGTGATGGCCATAAACCATGCCCAGACAGTTGGACAGCCCATCTCACTCCCAAGTGCTAACGTTGTGTTCCCAGCAGCATGCTCTGAATCAGCATATTAAATGTCAGTGTGCTTTGTGGGGATCTTTGCAACTTACTTCTGCTTGCGCAGCAGAATCCTTCTCCACGGTAATGCACACTCCCAAAATAACACAAAAAACACCTGGTGGGGATTGCTAGCAACACATAGGTTCATTTTTTTTGATCAAGCAAGCAGGTTACTTTCTGGCAAATATAGCTAGCTCACCACATCAGAATGGTAACAAGCTGTCTACACGTGCTCTTTATCCAGTTCAAAATCCACCTCCAAAGTGTCATTTTCCATCCTTGTGTAACTGGATCTGATAGAGTGCTAACTGACAATATTAACAGTATGTGTCAGAATTAACGTACCCTAACGTACATGTTTCACAAACGCTAATTCTCTGTTAGGATAAGCCCAGACGGACGTACAGTGAGTAACTTCTGGGGCCTGGAAACAGAGTGTGAAGGTGTCCACATCAGCATTTATACTTAATGCCAAAGAACTAAAGACTGGTCTAGGAAAGGTCACTTACTGCTGAGTCCTCCCCTCAAGACTTTTAGAAGAGAACAGTCAGATAGTCTGGTGATCGTCTGTAGGTTGTCTGAGAAAGTTGAGTCTTTCCCTAGTTATTTAATGCAACACAGTATTTCCTTGTAGCACAGCGGCTTTTGTGTAATCACAAACGATAAATGAAAAAGCAAACATATTTTCCCCTTGCTTTTACTTTTAATGCTTTCTTTAATGCAATCTTTTAATGCCTTTCATTGCACAATGCAATTGCACAAGATTTCACTTTAAAAAAAAAATCGTATGAAAATATGGCTCATTTGCTCTCTTGCTACAGAGGCCAGACAGTTCAGTCTTGCAGTACTGTGGTGTGTTCTTTGGTTCAGCTGTAAGGCATTTCTTCCCATCTGCACAGTGGCTGCAGCAAGCTTTCTTTACTTAACTGAATGCTTCTTGACTATCTCAAGGTACTCCTTCACATCGTCAGGAGATCCCAAGACAACAGGCGCTCTTTGGTGGATATCCTCAGGCACTATATCTAGTATTGCTTGATGCCCAGTTGTTGCTATTCCCCCAGCCTTCTCAATAACAAAAGCCATAGGATTGCATTCATAGAGCAGTCGCAGCTAGAAGACAAAAATCACAGAGGCAATGGTCAGTCCAGGCAATGCTGAGAATCATGAAATGTAAATATATTTGGCGTTTGATTTAGAACCAATCAACACTCCAGGTACCCATATTTCATATCAGTTTTTGACTCAAGAATTAAATTATGTGCATATTTCTTTCAAACAAAACACAGTGAATACTGGATTTGCCCAATCTGAGTGCTTTCTCCATAGCTCATGTTTGCCTTGTGCTCTTTGCACAGAGATAAACGTTGTATGTAGGACACAACCTTTAACAAGGCAGCAGACCACGTAGGCCTGTGTGAAAAGAAAAACACTGGCCCTGCGTGCGCCATTAGGTTTCTCTAATGAATAACTGCAACTTATCTGCAACCTGAAGCAATAATTTATGGACAGTTACAAAACAGATGAAAGGTCTTTGCTGAATCAACAGTCCCCTTGTCAGCCTGTAAGTGTTTGATCTTCCCTGACAGACTGTTGTCCTAGCAGAGGCAGCCAGGCATAGCTCCTCCAGATGAGCAGCGTTACCAAGTACAAGATGCAAGTGTTTTTCTCTTTGGCAGAGCTTCTCCTAAGGGGCTCACTACCTTTAGGCTTCTTGCATATTAGCTTGAAATAGGAGTCTCAGGGTAATGTGGGTTTTTTGCTTTGTAATATTTCGCTTGGTTGGGGCCAGCATGGTTGGGGCCACCATCTCATGGCTGAGATGGTACAAAGAAGCCTGTTTGAACAGCACATCCCTGGTACGTTCCATAATCTGAATATGTTTGGGGATAAAAAGAAGTCAGTACAGTTGAAACAGGTTAGCAGCAGCCCTGAGATAGGTGTCTGACAACAGGTTGTTGTCAGTTGTGACAGTGTGCAAGAGGTGGCCATACCCACACACCAGACATGCAAGCTACCAAGTTATAAAAAACATGTTCTGCAATCAAAATACTGATCTGTGATAGTGAAATATCTAGATAATGTAACATTTTCTATAATTGGGCTTATTTTTTACCTTTCCTTTGGGACTTTTGGAGTTCGCAGGATACAGAAAGATTCCTCCGTACACCAGTGTGCGATGCACATCAGCCACCATAGATCCTACATACCTCCCACCATATGGTGAACTGCCATCCTACGGAAAGATATTTAAATAAATGTAACTTTTGAGCACATCAGGGTAATCTGTTCCGTCTCCTCCCCCTTAGTGGTCCTAACATCTAACTTCTCCATATTGTGATTAATTGATAATATTCAAAGTAGTTTTGGAGAAAAGTTCAATTTCCTCTTCATTTTGTAATTGGGAAAATCCAAGGAAAAGGACTGACAGAAGATTTCAGGATAGGTGAGTGCTCTAGAAACAGCAATAGAAAATGCATTGCTCTAACCCTTGGAAAATACTGCATTTCTAGTAGCAAAAAAGATCAAGTGCTAGGAACTGATGGTGGGGTTTTTTCTTTTGCAGCAGAAAAAATTATGAAGGACCAAAAATAGTGATTTTTCGTACTTCTTCTTCTGCCAGCTTCTACAACTTTTTTGCTACAACAAATTCAATAGTTGACTACTGATATTATTTCCTTATTATACTCCAGAGAGTACATTTTAATATCTAAATAAACAACACCTGAAGCCTGGCACAACGCCACGTGACACCACCAGTCTTTGTTCAAAGCAAGATCAGGAAGTCAAGAAGGGACGCAAACAATTAACAATAGTGAATGTTTACACTTCATCAGCTACGTAATAACTCCAGTGATGACAGACGTGAGGCATGAGAACAGACATGATTTTTACTCCTCAGAGCTTCAGGCTTCCTGACACCAGGAAATTGCATGACCACAAATTGGACCCTGAAACTACACGAGCTTTTCAAGTAAGAGGCCCCCTCAAGATCCAGCTCGTGTTGGCACTGAGCAATGACCCACTGCCCTCCCCACCCGGCTCTCCATCTCCTCAGACACTGCAGTGAGGAAGCAGCAATCTGATACATGTCAATCAAATTTCTTCGTCACCAGATGAGACTTCCTCTCTACTTGGCTACCAAATACCCAGTTTTGCCTCCAGCACCGTTACTCCAGGAAGGAAGATAAGAGAAAGAGAGAGAAAGAGAGAGAAAGAGAGAGAAAGAGAGAGAAAGAGAAGAAAGAAAGAAAGAAAGAAAGAAAGAGAAGAAAGAAAGAAAGAAAGAAAGAAAGAAAGAAAGAAAGAAAGAAAGAAAGAAAGAAAGAAAGAAAGAAAGAAAGAAAGAAAGAAAGAAAGAAAGAAAGAAAGAGAGAAAACTGTAAAAGAGTTGCAGCGCAGTACTGAAGGATGGTGAAATACCTGGTCACATCAACTGCTAATCTAATTATCAGTCCTACATGAAGATACAGTTTCAATAGACAAGAAAGGAAAACAAGCCTGAACTGTGTATGAGACAGTGATTGATCATAAAGTTGGAAATTATGAGTGTGGCTTGTCATCAGAAAGTTTCTCTGAAAGAGGATCTTTTACCTCAGGAAATTTCTTCTTTTTGAGATACTCTGTGACTGCAGGATCAAAGTATTTAGCATAGCCTTCATTGAGACTGTAGATATTTCCCTTTTTTTTGATTTTCACATCCCTATCCACCAAAATGAATTCTCCAATTGCCTAACAATAAGAAAAACAATTTGTTAACGTTAATTGGTCGTTTATTTACGAACCAAGGCAAAATCCATTCATACACACAATTTAGGAAAAATTGACTACAGCTGCCACTTTCTTTAATAATTCAGTACCTACGAAAAAGTGGTATTTGCAGTCTAGATGCAAAGTGTTTTGTTTATCCATAAACCAGAGACAGAGCATGAATCCTGGGGTCATGCAAGCTTCTTCATACTACCATTCCCAGCTTTCTATCACTTTTCTATGCGAAAAAAAAATGCTGTTGCCTGTAAATTTATTTAGCTCTCCACTCTTTTACAAGACTTACAATAAATGTACAGCTCAGAAGAGTTTGGAAACTGAGAGTACCAGTTGATGCAATGCATAAACATCTTCAAATAGCTGTAGACATTAATAAATTCCAGTTCATCTTAGCTTGGGCTAACTGGAAGCCTGGAGTCAAGAGAGCCAATCTCTGTAACCAAGGGATGGTCTGTTTATTTTTCACTAAAGTAAATTTCCAAGTTAGTGCTAAAAATAAACAAAATAACATGCATGCATGCTCAAAGTTAAACCTGCTCTCTGAATATAGACAAAAATACATGCAGCTACTTAAACTGTTACTGAACAGGGAACACCAACTTTTATTTCCTGCTGCTTGACCACTCCAGATTCTAAAAAATTAATACTGGCAGGTGGTACAGCCTCACTAACTGATTACAAAAAAACGGGTCACTAAAGCAAACTACTTTCTGCTATGATCACTATGATTTTATTTTAAAACCTGTACAGGCAATGCATGCTAGAACATGAAATGCACCCACACATGTCACTTACTCTTTTACACATCATGGTAGGATCTGAAAACACAGAAGAAGGTTAAATATTTCTGCTTCTCTGGTTTACTAAGGTCCTAGCATTAAGGAAAAGGCAAACAATTCTTAAAGGGTGTTCTGCATTGCAGAAAACAGCTCATTTTAAATATCACATGACTTGGCACATGCTGTATATTTGCTTCACTGACTCGGCTGTCTTCCCGTTGTTGAATCATGCACAGCACCACTGCAGCTGGCAGGCAGAATGCAAAAATCTCTTGACACTATTGCTGATGGGTTATTAAGTGTACTTCATTTCTCCACCTTAGCTTGAAAATTGCTCCTTTGTTTGATTTTTTGGGGGGACAAACAGTTCTTCTAGACAGTACCTTGTTACCCCTAATAAAGAAACAAAGAAACAGAAGACATTCTCACCGGATCCAGCATGAAACAGTTGACGCCTCCGGCAGAAGTGGCCAGTACCAGCATTGTGGCACTCCCATAGAGAGCATAACCAGCTGCCACAAGATTGCGCCCTGGTTGTAAAGCATCTTTCCCAGAAGGTTCATCAGGGGACACCTAGAATAAGGAGCACAGTCAACTTTACTTCATTTCAATAGTTCTCATGTAACTGGACTCTCTGGGATAGGAATGGTCTTCTACTCCATATCCATGCATGAGGTGGCACAAATGCTTCCATGACCCACCACTGAGATTGCTACTGGATGCGCTAATACAAATTATACGGAGGAGACAAACACATTGATCTAGAAATGCTCTTGTATAAGCCTAGTTGGAATGCAGGAAGCAGGAAAGGATTAAGGAGATAATATAGAGCTGTGCACCTCCTTGCAGGGGATGATGAATATAGCTTGGAGGAAAACTCCGAGGCACAGTTGAAAACGAAGCAATGAAACGTGACTCACAGAGTTCACAGCTGATCAAAAGTACTTGGGATATTTTGTTTTGTTTTGATTCATACAAGAATAAAGTTGAAAGTAGTTACTTTGGGATGTATGACAACATACAAAAGATGATTAAAATGGTCATTTGAGTGTGTTTTATCTGACTGACTTTTTCCCCCATCTTGTGACATGTAAGTCCAGTATTTCAAGCTCCCTCAGACAAGGCTTCTGCCTTTCAGAGTGAATTAGACACTTCAAATGCACATGCCATGTTTCAGCTCCAGTTTGTGTTTGAAGCCTGTCCTCAGGCCAACAGGACTATTAGCACAGAGAACAAGAAAGCACATTCCCCAACCATGTGGTATTTTGTCTCAGCACAAATATTCATGAAATCTAAGACCTGATTTGTTTGTAAGGGGTAATATCAGCCAGGCTTCCATGTATGTATAGGTACCTCATCTTCTAAGAGAGTAATGCCAATGCCTCACTAATGTTTTATACAAGTGACTGTGAAACAGCAGGTTTAACTTAAAGCTGGTCCTGAAAGTCTCTTTTACAAACAAGTTTAGTTAGATTTTCTTAAGTCTTCACATGCAATTGTATTTCATCAAAATACAATAGTTTTTCTATCCTACAGGAAAGCATTTTACCTTTCTATAGATGGCAAAGATGGTCCCAATGGAAACAAGACAGTCAATGTTCGATGAGCCATCTAGAGGGTCTATGCAGACTATGTATTTACCCTAGAAAATACAAAAAAGGGAACAAGCAGATTAGTGACATTATTTTATCCACTTCCCCCAAATAAAAATACTTCAGTAGGTAAGTTTTCTCAGAGACTTTCAAAGCAATATAAACTAAAAGGCTTTTATAGATTTTGAAGGAAGTGAACTCAAATGTTCAGAGTTCTTTGGCCCAGATTTCATTCTTGATTACAACTGTGTGATTTGTGCCACAGCAGAAGGTGGGAAATCTTTAAAGTAATAGATGATGAGATGGGAAAGGTGAAGTTTTCCTACACAGGTTTTTATATATATATAGATAGATGTGT